CATACCAACTAAGGTATACTGATCGAACCATAAGCTCTCTCTCTCTCTCTCTCTCTCTCTCTCTCTCTCTGAGTATTGTTCTTTATTCGAAACTTCTTGAAATTTGGTTGTAGGGGTTCGGCGAGTTGTGGTCGTGGAAGCTGGCACCAAGCGTGTGGAGGGCATTATTTCCCTGAGTGACGTGTTCAGGTTTCTGCTTGGGTAGAACCCCAAGCCAAAGCAAGGTCCCTGAACTGGATGGCACCAATGGCAAGGAAGAAAGCCCACAAGAAAAAAGTAAAAAAAAAGAAAAGCAACGAGGAGTGTAAAATCTCAGTTTTGGCCATTATGCCTTGCCTTCTTTTCTTTGATTGGATGGGCCTCGGCTGTAGAGCCGTGTCTCGTATTGGGGAGGCTCGAGGTCTGTAAATTGGAGGGGTTATATTTTTTTTTTTTACCTTCTGTCAATTTTCCGTTCTTTAGTAGTCCAACCATGTATGTGCTTATTATGCCTTCCATGTTTTTTGAAGAGCATCACATTCATATTCTACTTGCTACCTGACAGCAGAAAAATGTGAAAAAAACGAAAAAAAAAAAAAAAGAACTTTGACATCGAGATGTAGTTGTTCGTCGGTGATGCAAGCACCATGTCAGTGGTAACAGTTGACTGGTGCCTTTGCCTGTGCTTTTAGTGGGCAGGCACGGTCAATTCAGAAACTGGTGATCTCCTGTTAATTCCTATTTTCCATTAAATTTTCTGGTTTTATTTTATAATAAATTTAGTTAAATAAATCATTGGACTTTCTATTAGTGAGACCCATCTATAATGTGGGTTCTGTTTTCTACTGGTTTGTTAGTTGTTTATTCGAGCATTATTGTACTTCATTTTTGTACATTGTCATGTTATAGGTCCTTTATTGTGCTTCATTGGTTGTTTACAGGCTTCTTGGATGCAGCTACTCTATGTGTGTATGAGTGTGAGAGAGAGTAATGGTAAGAAAATCGTCAAAATTGAATTGGAGTTTCAAAAATGGTGTTCATTCAAATGTAACCGTTGATGGAAGATGCATGTGGTCATGGAAACTTGAGCTTGATGTGTTGCTAGAACCGATTTTTTAGTTCCTAGCAAAGTCCTCAAAGGGTTATATGTTTTACTTGATGTGAAGACTGTCAAAATCCCTTTACATGTTATCCTCCCAAAGTTTTTGAATTCATTTTTAACTAATCAAATGGTTGGATGATAGATCATGATGATATATTTCCTTGAAATGCCATTTAAGTACCTTATTGAATCTGTAATCATCATTTAAGTTTTATCTTAATTATTTGGGATTGACTACATGAATCATGCATTTCTATTTTCTGTCAAGGGCAAGATTAAAAGTTACAGTATCTTTTTTCATTATTTGTTTTTCTGGTTTTTTATTTTGGTTTTTTAGAGCTTTCTATTTGAACCAAATCATACTTTTTAATTGATGTTGTATTAAGTCTATGTTGCATATAGCCAGTCTATTTAAGTTGTTTTGCCCTATTGAAGCGTCATTTAAGTTTCCTTGTATGTGTTCATTCTAAGTTCTATACTTTTTTAATCTTTCTACTCATGGATCTCAACATTTTCATCTTTGTTGAAGCCTTATCATAATTGAAATTCTACATCTTGAATTTTAACAAAAGTGTCTTGAACTGGAGAAGTCTGGAATTACTCTAGGTGAACATCATTCTTCACTATTTCCTACAGTAAATTAATAGTATTTGATTTTATTAAGCTGAATGAAACATGAAATATGAAACATCCCTAAAATTGTTTGCGCTTGATGAACTGTTAACTACCTATTATCTTAAAAAATTTCTGAATAAAATTGGCGTTTCAGTCAAAATTTTGGACAATAGTAAATAAGAGGCCCTAATGTTTATTAAACTTCTTATAAAATGAAATCTACTAAAATTTCGAAATAGTCATTGGGGAGTGAATTCCTCTTGTAAATTATTTAGGGGCAAGATTAAGCATCATCATTGGGGCAAGATTAAGCATTATCATTTCTAAAGAGCTAACCAAAAGAAAAAGAAAACTATCAATGAGTTATCTCCTGCGTTCACCATTTAACATGGCAAATTTTATACAGTGGGACCCAAATTTTTGATGAACTTGGGGTGGCTAAGGATGCATATATCAAGGGTTAGATGAAGTTATGGGTTTGGTGAAAGAAATGAGATAGGTGGGGCTATTTTAGATTTGTTATGGCCTATGACTCAGAAATAACAAACATTTATTTTTAACAGCGAGATGAACATTTATAGCCTGTAAACTGGACCACATAAAAGCTAGATAGACTTCTTCCTAATTAAGAAAGTAGATCCACCATCAAGTAAAGACGGCGTGGTTATCTCAAGAGAGATTGTTTAACTACCCATCATAGGCTCGTGGTTATTGGCGTCTGCTTAAAAACATGATAGAATGGATGAAATTAATAGGTGTCCAAGAAATAGATGGTAGAATTTAAAAAATGAGAAATTGACTTATTTAATGATAAACTAATTAAAGAAGGAAAATGGAACTTTAAACATAAGGTCAATGCTATGTGGAATGAGATAGTTGGCTGTATTGAGAAAGTGGCAAAATAAGTTTTAGGAAAATCTAAAGGGAAAAGAATTTCAATATGAAAAGTTGGTGGTGGAGTGATGAGGTTCAAAAGGCCATTAGCAAAAAACGATCATGTTATAAAACTTGACGGTGTAATAGAAATGATCAAAACTTAGAAGAATATAAATATGCTAAGAAAAACTCTACAGAAACAGTAAGGCTGAACTTAAAGTATATGATAATCTATACAGTAAACTGGAAACAAGAAAATGTGAAAAATATACATTTAAATTAGCAAAAATGAGAGAAAAAATATAGAGATCTAGACCATATTAAATGCATTAATGAGATTCAAAGGGTCTTGGTGAAGGATGGAGAGGTCAATGAAAAGTGGAAAGTTTACTTTTATAAATTATTAAATAACAAACATAATGGGAATATAACGGTAGAAGGAACTGTTCGTATAAATACGGGCGTATATCATAGATACATTCGTAGGATTAGGATATTGGCAGTGAGATTCATTGAAAAGGATAAACATAAGAAAGGCTTCTAGACAATATAATATCCCGATAGAGGTTTGGAAGTGCATGGGGAAGATTGACATTGACCGGCTAAACAAGTGTTTCGACAAGGTGTTGAAATAAAAAAAAATGCTGATGAATGGATGAATAGCATTGTGGCGCCCATTATTTATAGAAACAAATGAGACGCACAAAATTGTAAGAACTATCGAGGGATCAAACTTACGAGCCATATTATGAAACTCTATGAGAGAGTGATTGAGCAACGACTAAGGCATAAAACGAATTTATCAAAAAACCAATTGAGTTTTACGCTAAGGAGGTCAACAACCGAGGCTATTTTCCTACTTAGACAACTGATTGAAAAGTTGAGGGCGAAGGAAAATGACTTTTACATGGTCTTTATTGACCTAGATAAAACTTACGATAGAGTACCTCAAGATTTTATATGATGGGTGTTGGAAAAGAAATAAGTCTCTAGACAATACACCGACTTAGTGAGAGCTATGTACGATAGAGCACTAACTAGTCTACGAGCAACTAGTGGATATGAGTAAGTTTTCAGTGACAATAGGTCTACATAAGAGGTCAACATTGAGCCATACCTATTTGTCTTAATTATGGACGACTGCACCTACAAGATGATATACCGTGGTGCACGTTGTTGGCAGATGACATCGTTTTGATCGATGATACCCGAAACGGCGTCAACACAAAATTACACCATTGAAGCAATGCTCAAGAATCTAAAGGTTTTAAACTTAGCCGGACTAAGGCAACATATATAGAATACAAGTTTAATAATAATAGGAGTAAAGACAATGAGGTAATTAAGGTTAACGGCCACGAAATATCAAAAAGAGCACACTTTCAATATCTTGAGTCGCTATTCTAAAAAAATGGAGAGATTGTGAAAGATGTCGCACATAGAATTAGAGATGAGTAGGCGAAGTAGTGATGTGCAACCATAATTTAAGACCGCCAGATAGCAATGAAACTAAAAGGTAAATTAAGTTATATAGGACAACTATAAATCTAGCTTTGCTCTATGGGGCAAAATGTTGGGCAGTCAAAAAATGATATACCCATGGAATGTGTAGTGGAGATGAGGATGTTGAGATAAATGAATAGTAAGACAAAACGGGATAAAAATCGAAATGAATACATCCGAGCAAATTTAAGCATAACACCAATTGGTAATAAGAAGAAATATATTAGACTTAGATGGGTTGGCCATGTGTGGCGTAAACCCAGTACAATACTTGTTGAGAAGTGTGAATTAGTTCAATTGGAAGGCTAAAAAAATAAAAAATAAGCTCAAAAGAACATAGTCAAAAGTGACAAACATAGTTACTATGTTTAAGCTTTAGATAACTCAATTCAATTTTTTTTCTTATCTAAAGACTATTAGGTGATTCTCAAAAACTGAAAAATCTCCGAGTATGGTCTTATGACTGTGAGAGTTTAGCGCACGTGCTTTTTTTAAAAATGGAGGCATTCCTTGTATACTTTCACTTCAGAATAATCGCCCAAGGCTCTACTCAAGCAAGGACTAATTTTGCATGAATAAAGCGTTTTTCCCCATACCACCTATTTTATGAGTAAAATGGGTCACCTTGGTTGGCTGCCATAATTATTAACAAAAAAAAAAAACTTTGTTTAATTTTTTTAGAATTGTCTACAAAAAGAATTTATCTTTTACACAATCATTCTCGTCTTTTAGATTTTAAAATAAATAGCTATAAGAATGTCAAGGAATAAACATAAAATTCCCAAAAAATTCTTGAACTTTATAACTCACCTGAAGCAATTCAATTTTATATCTAATCCGTGTGAGAATGATTGTGACCACTATATACAAAAAATAAAAATAAATAATCTCCTTGTAGATAATCCCTTTTTCTTCATTAATGAAAGGATTCTTTCCGCTCAATAGACTTGTTGGGCGGTCCAGCCAGTGCCTACTGGAGGGCATTTATTGTATAAAGTCAGCATAATAAACAGCTGTATCTGAACCATCTCTGCAAATGCCCTTAATCATGACAAACTACCCGCCCTTTAAATGATGGCAAGTTAAGAAGAAAGTTCATGCTATAGATAAAGAACAGCAAGTACATGCAATTTACTTCTTTTTTTCATATTGGGATTTTTGTTGTGCCTATGTTTTCGCCAAACAAGTTAAAAAAATTTATACAATTTGCTAAGAAAAAGATCATGCCAAAATTTCTGGACAGGCACAAATTTTTGCTTCTTTCCTACCGCAAATATGGATGGCAATACAAGCCCCAAGATGTTTTCCGACGGTCACCCATATCTCGAGATGGCACAGCAAACACATAGGTGCAAAGCAAAGCGGTTTCCACATAATATTAACCCATACGAATTGTTTTACACTACACCCTGCTACCTGGAAACACTCTCTAAAGCCTGTGTGCACATGGAGAAGCAAAGATTATTTGAATCCAACCAAATGACCTGAAATGAAAATATACAAATGATAATAACGTTCACAATAATATTGCTTTTCCCCTATCCAAGCCATGTGTTTCCCATGCAAGCATCAATCAAAGTTGATTAATACCGCAAGACAAAAATGACTCCCAATCCTGTAAATTTGATTACTAAGAAGCCATCACACCAAAATTGGAAGACTTCACCAATAAGTCATAATGTTCATATATTGTGACAAAGAGGTGAAATAAAAATAACAATAAATAAAAGAAAAAAGGACTTGCCCGGGAAAATCTGGTCCTCTTCTTCCAAAACAAGACACAGAACACCAACCTTCAGCCTGCACATCCTTATGAATTGAGAGATATGGCTATCCTTCTTAACCTTGTAAACAACGGGCCATTATTAATGTGAAAAGAGAGGGTAAAGGGTTTGGGTTTGGTTGTTGCCTTCTGTAGAACCAAGGCTTCTTTATTAAAAATAACAAAGATTTTGGAGATGTAGCGAACATAATATGACAATGGGCAAGCTGATCTAACGTGGGTCAGAGCTGGATCAAATGGCAAGTCTTTTGAAGACTGCTGAGAAAATGGGTATTGGAGGTTCTTGAAGAAGAAAAATCCATGAGTAAACATTTCATGTTCCCAGAGTCCTGAAATAGAACTTTCAGGAAGTACAGACATTGGGGTCTGTGACATTTTGGTTCACTGGGGTATGAAACAGGTTTTGGAACTTGAGTCTCTCAGATCGAACTGGGGTTTTCAGTTCCATGGCCTGTGGTGCTACTACTACTTGAGGGGGTAGAGCTCTGAGCAGAGGTTTGGGTTTGCAAAGATTGGGTGCCTTTAAGTGGGGAGGAACCCATCGAGCTACTCGAGGGGTTTTCAGAGGACTTTTGAGCCCCACTAAGATCGGTAGAAGAAGAAGAGGGAGCAAGAGTCGCAAGAGAGGAACCAACAGGGTAAGGAGCAACCGGCATATCAGCTAGAGAAGATGCGGAAGGGCTGTAGCTCAATGAGCCCAATGGGTGGTCAAATTTGCAAGTGGGTCCGAATTTGCATACTCCATGTTGTGCGTAAAACGAGCAAGTTGGGGCCCCCTGTTAAGAATGTGAGAAATCAGACTTTGTTGGGCCAAATGACATGCTCGCATGCATGAATTCGGAAAATAAACTTGAAAAATAGAACATTGAAAGAATCAATAAGATTCAACACAAGATCGATCAATGACAGTCACTGGATAGTAATATAGACTGTAAAATGAAGTATCAACCGAAAACCATTTGGTCAACATGCACAGCACTAATATGGTACTTAATTGCAACTAGTAGATAGCCATCTATCAGAGTGAGACTGAAATCAATAGCAATTGTGAACCGTCATTGATATGCCTTTAAAATTTGCATATGTTTCTAGCAGCCATTAATGAATGTGAGAGCAGAATCAATTGGAATTATCCGCTCTATTTCGCAAACAAAAAACCTACAATATATTCACACTAGCCATCAATGAATGCTGATATTCCACTTACTACTGGCAGAACGGAGAAATATAGGACAATTTAGGAAACATGTAATAGGTGGCAGCAGGGAACAACAGTGAGCAAATTGGCCTAGCAGATGGAGTGTTCCCCTTGCACCTCTCTCCTCAACCCCTCTGTTGCATATCCTAGACACCAGCTCCATCTTATTGCATAGCATCTCATACCTAGTTGAGGACAAGAAACGTTTTAATGAACAAAGAGAATCTCCTTAGGAATACCCTACTTGCAAACACACGTCAGCACAAATTCTGGCAGTACCCATAAGGCCACAACAGGAACTTCTAAGTTCCAATTAACATCTACATCGATCGACTTATCACAAGCCTCACCAATCCCATGAAATTAAGCATTGTCATCACCCTCCCACTCTATTATCAAGTGGAAGTCCTCAACACAAGTGGTTCAACCTTTTTTTTTTTATCAGGTATGCGATGCATTTAATTGAGAAGTACAAACACAACATATCTTCATGACTAGATGTAGCAGTTGTCATTTATAGCCCTAGCAGCAATGTGGATTGAGTTTACCTTAAAAGCTCGATCGCCAGAACTAGATACAAGCAGCCCAAGAAGCTATTGTTTGCACTAAAACAATAAGTATTAGAAACTCTAAAGCCCAGTTTCTAAAGCCCATATATGTTCTTTTTTTTAAAATTTCCAAAGCTGCTGTAGCTTAAAACTCACTGACTTTTAATTAGATTGGCAAATGGCAATGCTCACAGAATGCTCAAAGCACTTTGGATAGAATTAGTTGTCAGAACATGCGAAGAAGAAACTCCACATAAGAAATGGAGAGGCGAATGCTATTATGGTATGGAAAAACAAGTAGTAGTGGAGTCTCGCCTCAAAATCCAAATGCCTGTCTCGTGCTTCTCGATGCCATGCGGGTTCCACTCTGTTAGGAAACTGTAGTATGGGTAATTAGTTACTTGCCATATTTGAATAAATTTGAATATTCAAATTCAGTTAGAGGGTTAGTAAAATTAAGTAAAGTTCTTATTTGAATAAATTGTTATCTTTTGAAATCAGACTAAGTGTTGGAACGTGATTAGGGTATAGATTTAGGAGGGGAAATGCTTCTTGTTTAAAGAGAGTTTGAGTAATAAAAATGGTGCTGAACCCTTTTCTTTAAAAACTCAATGCGTGTTGCACACGGAGGGACATCCAACTCAAAGTGCATCAAACTTTGGCATTTTTATGATCTTTTGGTTGCTGAGTGCGGTCTTGCCAAGCAGGTTGGTATCATTTCGTATCAGAACCGGAGCCTGGTATGCCCAAAGCTAGTTATAGGCATAAGTACATGCGATGGATGGAAGAAAAATAAGGGAGAAGTGAAGCAACACTCGGGCAGCTACAGTAGATTCGTGAAACCCTTGCCACCATGAGTCTTCAATATGAGCGACTGGCATCTTCCATGCTAAAAGATGATGCTCAACAATTGCTCAAGCAGGTTGGTATCATTTGGTATCAGAACCGGAGCCTGGTATGCCCAAAGCTAGTTGTAGGCATAAGTATATGCGATGGATGGAAAAAAAAATAAGGGAGAAGTGAAGCAACATACGGGGCTGCTACAGTAGTTTTGTGATACCCTCGCCACCATGAGTCTTCAATATGAGCGACTAGCATCTTCAATGCTAAAAGATGATGCACATCAATTGCTCAATTAGAGTACAAGGATTGAGACAGGTGTCAAATGGAGGGATACCTTGCACTGGTGAGGATGGAACCTCGATCCAAGCCCGATACACCCATTTAGATTTTGCATTATTTAGCAGCGATGATCCAACTGGGTGGATCTATCACATGGAGCATAGACATGGGTAGAGCTAGCTAAAGCTCTCTGTGTCTGTTTTGGCCCCATAGAATATGAAGATGCCGATGCAACCCTCTCCAAATTAAGACAGATAGGAATAGTTTGGGAAAATCAAACCATTTTAAGCGGTTGGTGAATCGGTTGGACAATGGACCGAAAAGGCCTTGACCAGTTGCTTTATTAGGGCCAAAAGGAAGAAATTGGGATCAAGGTATGCATATTCCATCCCACAACCTTGACAGCCATGATCGGCCTTGCACATATGCAAGAAGAAAAACCACAACATCTTGGCCTCAGAGGAAAAAACCCAATTTAACTAGGACGAGGCTACGTACCCTCATTGGCGGCTTCTAAGACAGGAAGCCCTGCGATTAAGAAACTGACCTGGGCGAAATGAAGGAGCATACATAGAGGGGCCTAAACTATATTTGTGATGAGAAGTTTGCAGGAGCCACAAATGTAAGTCAAATTAGGTAGTTTCTTATTTGAATAAGTTCTATTTGAAATTGAAATAAGTGTTGGCACGTGATCGAACTATCTTTTGGTTGCTGAGTACGGTCTTGCCTAGTAAGATCATATCATGCTGACATTGAATGCAGTCATAGTTGGATCTCGTCCCTCTCGCCGGCCTTTGAGTTCCATCCCTCCCCTCTCAATTATCACCTTTTACCCTCTTTTCCTCCCACCAATTATTTCTCCCTTATGGTTCACTTTTACTGTATTTTCTTCCTGTGCAGAGTGATTCTAAATTTGGCAGTCTGGCCCTTCATTCGTTCTTCTTCCCCTTTTTGTTCTTTTCCCTCTCTTCCTTGCCCCCCAACTTGCTCCCTTTGCTCTCCCTTTTATTTTGTGATGCAAGACAAAATTCTTCTTATTTTTAATTTCAAAAAATGTATATTTTAATTTTAGTGTTTATTTTTAGGATTTTTAAGGTTTCTAGGGATTCTAGGGTTTTTAAATTTTTTAGGATTTTAGGAGTCATTTAGAAAAATAGTTAGAGTGCATATGAAGTTATTTCTTTTATCAGGGGTAAAAATGTCATTACAATTTTGCTTTTATTAAGTATTTTATTTTAATTAGAGTTAGAATTTCTTGGTTCTAGGTAAGGTCTATTATTATAAATAGGGTCTATGTAGAAAATTTAAAATAAAGAGTTGAGTTATTTTTTAGAAACACTGTTTCCTTGAATTCTTATGAATTCTGCATAGCCATTGAAGCTAGGCTTGTTTGCTTCCTTTAATTTCGAATTGATAGATTATTTTATTTTCTCCCTGCAAAATTCTTTCTGCATCATTGTAGTAGCTAGCAAGGTGGTGAGGATTTTTGTACAAAACAAAATTTTATAACACGCATGCACACATGTGTACATGCAGCCACATAAATATATATATATATATATATATATCCACATAAGATACAAACTAGCTATTAATTTTAAACTTCCAAATGTCTTGGCATTTAGTTGGTAGATAAACTTGCAAATTTATCTGACTTGATTTACATATAGTCTGTGCCTTTTGGACTATTTAGTTAAAACGATTTTTCTTTTTCAAAATTTAATGAATAATGATATCAATTTGCTAATAAATCAAATTACGTATGCATAATCCTGGATTTCACACTTAATTATTCTATTTTTTCTTTTCCTGAATTTCAACCATTATGAGTTTTTTCAATCATAGAATCATGCATATATATTGTGTCCTGTCTAACATGCACAAATGATCTTACATGACATATGTTGAAAAGCACAAGATTCTTATGATAATCAGAGTGTGAACAGGCCACTCTTAATTCGTCCACTCTTAATTCGTCATTAAGTAGCTACAAGGTATTAGATCCATATTTAGACTCATAATCAGCTAGATAGTTTGCTCCAGTTCAACCTCTCCAAAAGCTCCAGCAATTGCATGTTAGTATGAATGGGAAAGAAGCCAAATCTGTATATGAATTTAAGACCAGCTGATCTGAATTCTCAATCTCAGATTTACCCATTTGAACCAGCTGACTTCACCAACTAAGCTTCAACCGGCCTAGTTTCTAACTAAACCTTCAGTTGATATCATGCTTCCTCATTTTTGTTTGGTGAAAGTTTGAATATGGAAAAAAATTCCTCAAATAAAGGGTCTTGAACTGGCCATTTTGATGATTTCAAAAAATTCAACTCCAACCAATCTATGAACCAGTGACCAGATGTCTAAATCCATCTTTGTATCTAATTCAATCTAATTGTCAGTCAGATCAATAGCAAAGTTCATTCATTTCAAAATGGGCCATCTAGCTGTTTCCCTTGAATCAACATCAGTCGCAGCACTCCCATCACGCTTATCACAAATAACGAAGCCTTTGGCTGTCTAATCCTAAATGAGCAATTCCAACCTCAATAAGAATACCAACATGCCACACATTCATAACCACAATTAGGTAACACATGGGACATTAAATTTGTTTATTCAAGCCTTTGAACTATACCATCTAACCGACAAGCAGAAAAATGAAATACATAAATATTCAAACTAATTTTTTAAAGCAGAAAAAAGGACCAAATACAAGCAAAATTATATTTCTGAAGAACAAGGGTCTGCTCTCTACAAACAACTGAAGAATCTCTATCATGAGAGAGAGAGAGGAGAGACAGAGAGAGAGAGTAAAAGTAGGGAGGCAGTATATATACCGGGCGTAAAGGGAAACCAATGGGGCTGAGAGTGCAGTTTGTTTGTGGAACTATCCTGTCCGGGGGATGATGATATCTACACGTGGACCCATATTTACAGTCCCCTGTTCTCATGTAGAACTGGCATTCTGGCTGACCAGGTCTTTCAGGAAAAGTGTTCTCTTTCGTACCTGAAGGTCCAGCAACGGAAGAAGATACAGGAGAAAAGAATCCAGGATATGGAGTAGCTGTCGGAGACAATCCATAAAGAGAGCCTGTTCCCACTGGCTGCTGTGCACCAGGTGATGCCACAGGAGTTACAGGAGGCTGCTTCAAAAAGAATAATGAGTGAGGAAATGGAATAGAAGCTAGACCTTGGTAACCATGTCATGTTTTTAAGGCTGACAGCAGCAAGGGAATATAACAAGTATAATACAAGGGAAAGTAGACTATGGTCCGAGGGTGGATAGAAAATCATAGTCCATAGGGTCATGATATGACATGGACGATGATGGAGAGAGAGAGTGCGACCCACCATTGGGGGAATGCCTGACCTAGTGGTCGCTCCCATTCCCCCACCGTTCATCATCTTGTCAGGCAATCATGCAACCCCCAAATATCAGTATCTATAGTCCATTGACTTTGGTATGGTTTCTCCAGCTGTCATACCATAATTTGAAAGAAATGATAACAAATGGTTTCCTAGTTCTTACAAATCCTTTTTTCTTATTTTATCACAATAGCATCATCACTAACTGATCTTCAAGCGACTTTGAATCAATTTCATCCAATTTTCAATCCAAAATCTCAAAGAAATATTGAAAAGAAGGGAGAAATGCCAACTCTAAACCTTGGAACATAAAAACTTCTCATGTCTCAATAGAAAGGAAAACCATGTGGGTTGCATTTCAGCTCACCGGATAAGCACTCCAACCAGGAAGTGGTACCACCCCTGGATGAAGAATCACAGGACTATAGGGTCCTTGGACATATGAACCAGGCAGGAATGGCGAGCGAGCAACCTGCCAGCTCGCCATTCCTCCCCCATACTGCTGAGGAGAAGGTTGTGAAGGAGAATGCACCGTTGGATAAAACTGAGGTGCAGGTGTTGTTTGCAACGAGGTGTTGACTGGCTGTGGGTGGTGGAATTTACAGGTTGGGCCAAACTTGCACTGTCCAGTTTTCACATAGTAGGAACACTCCTTGTCACCCTGTAAACAAACATAATCCATCAATTTCCACAATAACCTTGGGCCACAGTGAATAATTTTCATACACCACAGTCCAATGAAATATGGTACAAGGTACTCCAGGGTAAAATCCACCATCAGTTCCCACTGATGAATAGATTGAGATCACAACTGGAGTTAAAGCCCACATGGCCAATTACCCAGGTGCATACAGTCCATCTGTATCTGGGAACTGGGAAGTGGGAACTGCCTGTGGAGGTAGCACGAGTACCATGTACCAGAGTCTATAGGACTTGTCAAACTCACATCATTTTCACCATGAGATCGATCACATTATAACTTTAAATGACGCTGAGTAAGTGTTCATGAGTATGCATCTTCCACCCTTGCGAGTGCTTTATTGAATTTGACCTTTTCTTTTATTTTTTATTTTTTTGGGAAAGCTATTGGAGTTTGATATTATCTCAAAGAGGACAACCACAACACATGAAGTAATAACAAGAGATGGCATGAAACCCCACAGGTCGTAATGGGTAACTTAATATTGGACAACCACAACACATAAAGTAATAACAAGAGATGGCATGAAACCCCACCGGTCGTAATGGGTAGCCTAAAATATTAAGTCCAACAGGGCTCATCAATCCACCCCCATATCTTGGATGGTGATACTTGCATGTAGCTCCAAATTTGCATGTACCGGTCTTAATAAAATACTGCATATTAAGAAAAAAAACCTGCAATGAGATAAAATTGACCATGAAAATACAAAGACAATAAAATAAGCCCTAAAATCATTGAGACAGCATCTCCAGACCAGCTCCCTCCCTCCTCCCTCCACAAAGAAAGATATCCATACATGGGAAAATCTTGTCATTCAATTTTAACAGGTTGTACAAGGCTTAGTATAACAATCAGTGACAGGAGGAAAATATAATTTGTACAAAGCTTAGGGTCAGGTATACGGATATAATTTTCGCAGGAGCTACCTGAATTATATGGGTATAATCCAGGTTTTGGAATTTTTACAGGGAAAGTAAATTAGAGAAGCTAACCTACAAGTTCACCAATAAAACAAACACTGCATGGAACTAATATACCAACAAAAGTTTAATGAAAGGGAATTACGCTTTGCAGAGTTCAAACGTGTATGGCTCTATAGCCTAAAATGATGAGAACATACCTGGCAAGTAGGCTGGCCCACCCTCTCTGGGTACTCTCCTCCTCCAGTTTGCAGAACGTCTGCAGCCTGATTGTAAAGAATTCTAATGTAAATAGAAAAAGGGAAGTTTTCTTATAATGAGTAAATGCATGAAGATCTTGATAATATGTAAATGGAATTACAGTATATCATCATAGCCCAAAAATAAATAAAAGGAACTATTGTGTAGCATACAACAGGTGAATCTTTGTGGGTGAATCTTTGTGGGTGTATACACATGTAAGATATATGCCTTTATATTTATAGAGTGTTTTACTGTGCGCGTGTTCTATCATGCAGTTTTTTGTGTTTGTATGTTTGCACAGTAGGTAAATATTTGATGCAACATTTCAGTCCATGATACCAATATCCTTGACATCAATCAGTTATATATGTGTCAGATTAAGATATACTGTCAATTTCATTAGATATAAAATGGGTACATGTTACAGCATTTAGTCTTAGATAATTAACAAAAAAGATACGCATGCGCGCATGCACGCACACACACACACACAGATTTGGGGTGCCATTTCCAACGTGTTTTCTCAATAGGAAACAAGTCATTTGCAAGTACCTGAAATCCTAGTTAAATGATCCACACAATGTAAACTACCTCAGAAAAATCAATCCAAGTGCATCAACCTTTCAATGCATTATTCATGGAAATAGAAAGTTGAGAAGGAAACCAATACGAAAGAGCTGAGTCAAGCATCTGCTAAATGCTAAGCCCATCAGTAGAAACACAGGATGTGCTTACCAAATTCCCATGATAAGTTATAACACAAGACCAGACAGGAACACAAGTCATGATCATGCAAGATTAGTCGAGTTGCAGTGACATGGTAACGGATACAGATTCCAAACACCAGCTACATGGAATCAAGCAATGTTTACGGTTACAACACCTTCAGCAAAGCTATCCCATTAAACCTACTAATTAATAATTATCATAAAATTCGAAGAAAAACAATAGAGGCTCATGGTTACACCCAGAGGAGCAAACTTATCAATTTTAAAGAAATAAATTTACGTAAAGTAGCATACCGGATTCCGATCGTGAGGATGATTATAACGACAGTTGGCCCCATAGCGGCAAAACCCTGTCTTCATATAAAACATACAATCAGCCTCTCCTGGCCTTTCTGGGTAATATTCCCCACCACTTTCTCTTCCAAGGCTCAATCGCCACATGGACTCTACATGCAAATATATCCATCAATGATCCCATTCAACTCAAGTCACTATAGTTAAATAAAATCACATTGAAAATCATTTATGCAATTCGCATTATGCAGTTAGAAGTAACACTAGATATTGAATACTAAAGCATATCATGTTCCCTATGGCTTAAATAAAATCCCATTGAAAATCATTTATGCAATTTGCTTTATGCAGTTCGAAGTAACACTAGATATTGAATACTAAAGCATATCATGTTCACTATGGCTTAATCACAAATTTCCACAGGAAACCAGAAAAGCAAAACAAAACTAATACTAAAAGATGGCACAATTAATTCACCTTAAAATTCAATAATTACACTTCGATCAACCCTTCTGATGTGAAGATTCTCGCTAGTTTATACCTATCACTCGCATGAGCCACACATTTATACTTATCAAACATAAACCTCCCCATATCAATCCCCTAGCATGTCCACCGTTTATTCCAGCAGCGCAACTGTTGTGAGATGTTGCCTTGAAAAATTAAGAATAAATACAGAAAACAAAGAGAAAAAATACTACCCAAAGTTTGATCATGACCTTCCAATAAGTTTAAAATAAGATGCTAACAACTCAGTAATTTACAACTCAAAAAATGAGCATGAAGAAAAATAAAATAAGAAAAAAGAGGAAGAAGATCAAAGAAATACAAGATAAATAGTCTCTTTCTCTAGTTAAAAATAGAAAGGGAGCAATAAACAACAGAACTGAAATGCATCAGCAGCCCAATTCACTTCGAAGAAACTCCATAAAAATCAAGCCAATCCAAATGCCTGCTCTGATAGTCACCGAGCAAACATTGGAAGAGTGGTTTAAAAAGCAACGCACCAAAAAATTGCAAAAGGGATTGAAAATTCACTTCATCCAAATCAACATGTGAGACAAACCCGACAAAAACCAGTCAGACCCCTGATGCTCTGATACTTAATGCTATTTTTCAAACAATCAATCAACAAGTGATCAACTCACTTGAAACACACGCCCCAAGATGGCAAAGAAACAGAATGTGCAAATTACTACTACAAAAATACAAATCAAACAAAACCAATGAAAGTCCAATCGAAACCCGATCTTTACCCTAACAAATTCACCAAACTTAGTTCACATCTAAACACCAAAAATTCACCAAAAACCAAATGGGAGAAAATATTTAGTTTTTCAATAAAAGGACCACTAACAACAATCCTATTCCATTGATCCTCACAAAACCTAACCCTTAAACCACAAAAAATCACCAATAATCGTGTAATTTAGCCGAATAATTCACTAAAAACTACGCATTTGAATACAGAAAACGAAATGATCACCAACGCAATTCTAATCAAACAAAACCCATCAAACCCAACATCAAAAAACGAATTTCTCCCCTTTCAGAGATCTAAGAATCGGCATTCTAGGATTACAATAAAATCATCCAAATTCACTTAAAAACAAAGTGAAAACACAGATGAAACAGAGACTAGCATCCATTACTGACCTTCGAGACCAACCTCGTTCCATTCAGGAGAGGGATCAATTGAAGATCCCTCCAATGTAGGGTTTTTCCCGTAATATTCCATGAAATCAACAGAAATTTGTATATCTACAACCACAATTCTTTACACAATCTACAGAGGGGGTTCTAGAAGCTTCTAGGAGGCTCTAGATTAGCCCCCCTCTCTCTATCAACACACTCTCTCTCTATACCTATCTCCCACTCTCTCTCTCTCTAACTCCCCTCCTCTCTCTCTCTCCCTCCTCTCACTCTCTCTCTCTATTGATTTTCAAAGGCTGGGAGTTGGGCTTCCTGCTTCTGGTTTTTTATACCGCCCAAAATAAAGTAAAAATCAGAGTGAAATTGACTTATTACGGAACTACCATCTGTATGCACGCAATATATCCTCCCTATTCCTACAGAAATTAGCACTCTTTAGCTGTTGGAGGGACGGCGACACTAGGGGTGTTTTAGTCATTATGGTGAAGATAGCTGTTACGTGATATCTGATGTGAATTTGGGCCAGTCGTTATTTATCTATTTTTGTTTCTCTCTCTAGTTGGGTTTTGCTTCTCTCTCTAAAAACTATCTGTTTCTCTCTCTAAAAATATCAGTTTCTCTCTCTAAATCTGTTGTTTCACTTTTGTAGCAGATACAACGGAGTCCTGTAAAGGTGTAAAGACATTAGAGAAAGGAACAAAGCTCAGATATAAACCATAAATACTTTCCATTTTCACTCTACTTTTAAATCCTTTCACACTCTCTCTCTCTCCTTCCTTTTATGCTCCAATCTCATGCCGTACTCTCAGGTTCATTTCCACCCTTCATTTTTTCAAAATGACGGTGGATGGCCTTCCTCTCTTGAATTGGTGATACCCTCTATGGTTTCATCCAGCTGCAGTCCTATCGAAATAAGTAAGGCCTCACCTCATAACCCATCCAAAATTGCAATTGAAGCATCGGAAAACCTTACATTGATCGTCTCGGTCTGAACCTTAAATTTATCATCTCGGTCTAAATATTATGGTTGTAAAAAGAAATTTAGGATTTCAAATGAAAAAATAAGATACATTGCAATAAATCACCTAGACCATTTATTTCGCCCTAAAAATAAATGTTCACATATCCGCAAGATCAGTAACGTGCTTTGAGTTTCAACTTTTATCATCGGTGTTGAAAATTGATTTTAGATAATATTTACCAAGCATTTGATGTTTTTGAGATGAGGATTTGAGGTGAAGTTTTATTTATTTTTCATAAGGGAAAAGTTTATATAGAGCTGAGCCTCAAAACAATCAAATTTGAGCCTACATCAAAAAGTTCACTAGAGTAGGTTGTTTTGACCCTCAAATATTTTCAAATTTATCATCTCGACATCAAGATGCATGGACATGAGAAAAAATTGAATTTCAAGTTTTGGAAATAGTGCATTTTGCAACGCAATTTTAGACCGTCAATTTTCAAGATTTTCATAGATATGTCGATCTACACTGTTTTTTAAGCTTTGAACTTTATAAATGAATATGAAAATATATTTTAAAGTTATCACAAATATTTTCAATAACAAACCCACATTTTTCAACACTATTTGAAGGTAGGCTCTAATTTGATTGTTTGGAGCCTAGTCTCTATACAAACCGCGCCCTTTTCATAAAGCCTATGCCATATAAAAACTTCATGCATGTTCGACATGTACGTGTTTCTCTCTCTAAGCTCTTTGAATACGTCTCTCTTGTGAGAATGATCGTCCACGTCTCTCTATCTACTTAATATCTCACTCACAAATACCCTGCATAAATGCATCTCTTTCTCCGTCTCTCTATGTAGATCCGTCTCCATATCCATATCTCTATTCAGAATTGTCTTGTCTATAAAGGTTTGGGTTTTCTTTTTTTAATATAAAAATTTCAAAAATAAATATGAAGAAAATATATATGCAAATTATTTTAGTGGTGTTTATGTTTACTGTGGGAATGGAGGGTACGACGTTGTATTGAAACATCAACACTAAATTAAAGCATATACCCCATTTATCACAATTGACCTAGATCCGCTGCCCAAACCAGTTGATGCCCAATCGATGCTGATTTGTTCACAAAAATAAAGTTTGATAAAAATAAAAAACTAATGGTTAAAATAAAAAATTTACTAGCTTGAATATGACGAGTTTATTTTTAACTAGTTTAACCAACTAAACATAATTTAAAACCCTTTTAAGGACAAGTATAGATTATTTCCCCCACCTTTACCCAAAAAATTTGTGCACCGTAATATTTATGATACCACACTACTAACTTCAATATTATTTATCTTTTACAATCATCTTTAAAATAAAATAGCCAAAATTTTGTCAAAAATACCCCCAATCTATATTTCTAAAACGTAATGCTTAACATGTGTTAGTCTAACGCAAAAATATGTCGAACTGGCTTCTAACAAAAAAGTGCCAGTCTAACACAATATGTGTCGTACCAACTTCTAATAGTAAACTTCTGCCAGTCCAGTATAAAATGTTGGCTTATATTGAAATTGTTCTAGTCCAACATAACCTTCTATTCAAATTATGCCGGTCGGACACATTTTGTGTCAGATCGACTTGAGATAAAATGGGAAATGTGGCTTGAAAAGATGGTATTTTGGTAAAAAAATAATAGCTTTTTCATTTGGGGGTAATTGCAAGAAATGAGCGTTGGAAAAAATACCATGTATTTTCTGTATAAGGAGGTCACAACTATTTTCACTCATTAGATGTCAAATTAGATACTCAAATAGCGCAACCTTGTCAACCACGTTGTCAATAATACATTATCCCCATTTTTTTTTGCACAAATTTGTTTTAGATTAGGAGTTAGTTTTTTTTAACGTATTAGTGACGTGGAGTTTTATTTGTCACAAATTTGTTCTCAACATATTTGAGTCACCATGCGCATCATAGAAGGACAAGCTTAGTGTTTAGAACTGCAAATTAGTCAATCGAGTCAGCCATTGGTTCGGATGGGCCAATTTCTTACATGAACTAGAAATTTGGCTAAGAGAAATTGACTAATAAAAAATAATATTTAGACAAACTAATAAAATATAAAATTGGGAAATCAATCAATGCTAAATTGTCTAGTTTCCTAATAAAACTGACCGGTTCCTTTAGAGAAATGGCCAATTATTTGAAAAACCGGCCAATTCCCATTTTTTACCAAAAACTTAACTAGATTTTCAATCTAATTCGGCTGATTCCGATCCAAATCTAACACTTCTTCAAGTATTGTGAAATATAACATGAAGATTTAGAAGATATTTGGCACTCCGTCATCTACATATAAAGGTTAGTGTCGCTATATTTGCAAAGTTTTAGGAGTAATTTTGGCATTCTTAGTGCATGAGTTCCCCCAAATTTAGCCAAAATTTGGATTGGCTGTGACGAACCACCGACACGACCCAAAGCGTGTCGGGCGTGCTGCCTTGCGGTACGAACATAACGGGAAACTTTCGCAAGATTTCGGCGAATTTTGCTGAGTTTGGTGAAAATTCGTTGACCCACAGAAGAAAATAGAAATAGATGAAAGGGCAAATTCCATAAAAAAACCATTCCCCAAATCCATCCCACCAATCTTTTTTAAACCCCCTCAGAAACCCCCATAACCGCCTTTTTTTTTTTTTTTTAACCCGCATCCCAAATAAAAAAGTTGACTCTTTTTTTTTTATATAAAAATACTACTTTCAAAATACACATTCATCTTTTCTTTCTTTTCTTTCCTTAATAAAGCCGATATATGTGCTAAACCACCTTCAATATGGAACAAACCAAATAGAAACATACATTTTAAAAGAGGTACTTTCATAAATAAATAAATAAAAGTTACTTTTCATTTAAGGGTAGATGAAAAAAAAAAAGATTTTGAGATTTGTAATGTGGTTTCAAAAGTATTTGAGGGGATAATACCTAGAAAATTAAATCAATGGAGGGCTATAATAGATT